CTCACACAACGCCCCAACTATCTGTTCACGCCTTCCTAAATCGTTCACGGCTCGCTCCCTGACCCCGTCATAGCCCACTCTCCCTTCTTTTGCTTATCCCGTCTCTCGTTACCCCCTGAAGTTCCCATATCAAGCGTCTCATCACATTCTTCCCGCTGATTAACAACCAACCTCTTATGTCACAAGACTAACGCCCATAGGCGACGGAATGTACTACCCCAGCAAACTAGCTCGGTCCCCTGCCTAGTAAAGCTCGACTACTCACACACCCCCCAAGCCGTAGGAACATACTCCGCTGGCGGAGATAAACTATATCACAACTCTGTAAACAACCGTCTCGTAGTGCATATTCAGCAGAAAATGGCAAACGCCTCTCACAACAGTGACGAAACGCAAAAACTGACGGAGATCATGAAAGGCTGGTTCATAGATCATGTCTCACAGGACGTCTCCGAATATGTTGAAACGTCAGTTAACGATGAAGATGACTGTATCGAAGTCAGGCCGAACGAAACCTTCCAAAATGCACAGAATGATTTCCTAAAAAAATGACTGTCTCGATTGTCTTTCAGGGGGAAACGAAGAATTGTTCGAACGACAAAAAGTTCGACCTGATTAGATATTTGGAGGAATCGGTCATGACTGAAGAAGAGTTCGCCTCTGAAAAGGGAACAGCTCACATGGAGGGAAAAGGACAGATGACTTATGTTGCTAAGAATCTCAAAGTGGTACAATGGTTTTTGAACAGAAAAAAAGAAATGAAATTCAAGGAAGGTAGTAAGTGGAATTTCGTTTTTTTTTGTCAATGGCTACCTCGCACAGAATGGGAAAAAAAGAGGGATGAGGACAAGCGTAATAACTTTTGGGTAATGGCGATGCGTTTCCCCATTGCCGCTTCAGTGTACATCAGAACAGGACTGGAAGCAGCAATGGGGAAGATCGTCAAGGAGTTTCCCCCGATAGGAGACCCAGAAGACCCGAATTTGGGCAACTTGAAATACCAACTACATCCGAGTGCCGAGGAAAGATTCAGACCTCGTTTGAGAGTGTGGGATGGATCCAACTACCTGATGGCAGACCTGGTGAACTCCAACACCCCATGGTGCACAAACTGTAACAGATACGGTCACAAACAGGACGACTGTCCGTTCTGTGACTACTGTTACAGATACGGTCACTACAATGATGAATGCAAAGCAGACAATGGCAATAACGGGAAGAAAAGTAACAAATATCAGTCTGGACGCCAGGGGGTTCACTTGAATTCCTTCTCCCATCAGCCTTCGCAGGACACTGCAGCATCTTGGCGCAGCAGTTGGGACTACCAGGTTGCCTCTGGTTCGAAGTCCCAACAACCAGCACCACGAAGGCCTGGAACGCAGTGGAACCAGGGAAACGCATTTTCTGCGGGAGTGAAAATGTCATTCTTTGGTTGGGGTACCAAGGCCCCGGGTACAGATCCACGCGCTAAGCCTCCCACAGGGAATAAACCCACCTGGCGCCCGGTCCCTTCACCTCCTCTGAGAACAGGGGGGCAGGGGGGCCTTCAGGCTACAGGTGGTAGGGTTGGCTCGGCACAACTGAAAGCAGGCACCCACGCGCCTGGGACTCAAGGAGACAACGGACTGCTGGCTATTACAGCAGCAGGTGAGGACGGTCTGCACGCCCAGGTCCACTATCAATTCCCGTCGGTATGGACGCTACCACCACAGCCAAAGGCTCGAAGGGCGAAGCTTCCCAATCTGTGGCGCAGCCACAGAAGAAACTGCGCACGGAAGATGAGACCATGGGCACTTTGGCTCAGGAGATACAACACCCGCAGCCTCCCCAGCTGTGAGGCCCGGTTACTCCAACAGCCCCACAGGAGTCTCCGTATGTCCTGGCCCCACTGATATTTAAGCAAAGTAATCAGACCACGTTGTTGCTTCTCCAACAGAACGACAATAACGGTCTGTTTCTTCCCTCCCTCACAACCAATGCATTTCCTCACCCCAACGAATTTCTGAACTCTGCAAGGAAAACACTGGACAAAAGATATTTCGTGAGGCCTATCCAGACTATGCCCTGTACCTCGACTTATAGGAAAGGACAGTTAGGGAAGACTCACCCCATCCTCAGTCTGTGTTTGGAGGCGGCTCAGGCCCCAGGAACAGATCCCCAGGTGGTGGATAAGGGACTGTTCTGGGCACCGATATCATGGTTCAAAAGGAATAATGTGAAGGAGAGGTTTTACCCATCCTTGGGGGATGGGATTCTGGGGGATGTCATTGCTGATCTGGACTCCCATATTCCAAAGGAGAGATCAGTTTTCTCCAGGTACATTCAGGAATCCACGAAGCTTTCGTGGGATGTATCGAGCCTGATCCAACCCCAGGGCATAAAGGGTACTACACAGGAGCCTATCCATCAGGGGCTGCAGTCCGCTGCTGCGGATGAACGGTAGGCTCTCAGTAGCCTCCTCAGTGAAGAAAAGCTGGTTTCCATGCCATCATGGTGGAGCGGCCCTCGTGTCTGGGCTCCGGCCCAAGGAACGAGAGGGGTAACCGTTATCCTGGTACACAAAAGACTAACAGACAGCATTAAAGATTCCAGTTTTGACCCAGCAGGTCACATGTGCTGGGTTAAATTGGAGTTGAACAGTCAAGTTTGGACATTCTTCTCAGTTTACGTCCCTGCAGATCACGCAGGCAAAGCCCAATTTATCAAGTCCATCAAACAGCTCATCCCCATGTGGGAATTTACTATTATGGGGGGGGACTGGAACACGGTGTGAGGAAACCCGGGGAGGAGCTACCTACCGTTCGCTGAAGCCATGGGCTACGGCGCCTGTCACTTCGCCGCGCCCGCTTCCGAGGTCCTCAGCGACCAGCAGGGTTATCCCATTCAGCAAGGTCACTCTTAGTCCTTATCCACAGGCCATTTTAAGATCTTTCCCTTTGCAAATATTTCACAGTAATCTCGGTCGGAATTGACCCCTCCGTGTCACGCAGGAATGTTCAATCCTCTCTCCGTTCCCTTCGGATCAGCTCACCTCCGCGCAATCAGAAGAGCGGGGAAGCCGCCAAAGAGGGAACGTTACTTTTCTTTTGGCAGAGAGCAAGTGGCCGATCAGGGCTCTTTTCAATGACTGCTCGAATACGACTTTTTCCGAAAATGATTTGCTGTCCAGCCCACAAGGCTCAGAGCAGTGAGACAATCAAGGGTCTTCTCAATATTTTTCCGACAAAGATATCTCCCGAAAATGATCTGCTGGCCAGTTCGCAAGGCTCAGAGCAGCGAGCCAATCAAGGGTCTTCTCAGTATTTTTCTCGAAAATGATCTGCTGGTCAGTTCGCAAGGCTCAGAGCAGTGTCTCAATCAAGGGTCTTCTCAATATTTTCTCAGAAATGATATTTCCCGAAAATGGTCTGTAGGTCATTTAGCAAGGCTCAGATCAGTGACCCAATCAAGGGTCTTCTCAGTATTTTCTCGAAAATGATATTTTTCGAAAATGACCTGTTGGTCAGTCAGCAAGGCTCAGATCGGTGATCCAATCAAGAGTCTTCTCAGTATTTTCTCGAAAATGATATTTCCCGAAAATGACCTGCTGGTCAGTCAGCAAGGCTCAGATCAGTGACCCAATCAAGGGTCTTCTNCCAATCAAGGGTCTTCTCAGTATTTTCTCGAAAATGATATTTCCCGAAAATGATCTGCTGGTCAGTCAGCAAGGCTCAAAACCGTGAGCCAATCAAGTCTCTTTCCAATATTTTCTCGACAATGATATCTCCTGAAAATGACCTGCTGGCCAGCTCGCAAGGCTCAGACCAGTAAGCCAATCAAGGCTTATTCCCATATTTTCTCGAAAATAATATTTCCCGTAAACGTTCTGCTGTTGAGTTTGCAAGGGTCAGACCAAAAAGCCAATCAAGGATTTTTTCAATATTTTCTGGAATATGATATCTCCCGAAAATGACCTTCTGGCCAGCTCGCAAGGCTCAGACCAGTAAGCCAATCAAGGCTCTTTCCCATAATTTCTCGAAAATAATATTTCCCGTAAATGTTCTGCTGGTCAGTTTGCAATGCTCAGACCAGAAAGCCATTCAAGGTTTTTTCCCATAATTTCTCGTAAGTAATATTTTCCGTAAATGTTCTGCTGGCCAGTTTGCAAGGCTCAGAGCAGTGACCCAATCAAGGGTCTTCTCAGTATTTTCTCGAAAATAATATTTCCCGAAAATAGTTTGTTGGTCAGTTAGCAAGGCTCAGATCAATGACCCAATCAAAGGTCTTCTTTGTATTTTCTCGAAAATGATATTTCCCGAAAATAACCTGTTGGTCAGTCAGCAAGGCTCAGATCAGTGATCCAATCAAGAGTCTTCTCAGTATTTTCTCGAAAATGATATTTCCTGAAAATGACCTGCTGGTCAGTCAGCAAGGCTTAGATCAATGACCCAATCATGGGTCTTCTCAGTATTTTCTCGAGAATGATATTTCCCGAAAATGACCTGCTGGTCAGTCAGCAAGGCTCAGATCAGTGAGCCAATCAAGGTTCTTTCCAATATTTTCTCGACAATCATATCTCCCGAAAATGACCTACTGGCTAGCTTGCAAGGCTCAGACCAGTAAGCCAATCAAGGCTTATTCCCATATTTTCTCGAAAATAATATTTCCGGTAAATGTTCAACTGACCAGTTTGCAAGGGTCAGACCTGAAAGCCAATCAAGGTTTTTTCCAATATTTTCTGGACAACGATATCTTCCGAAAATGACGTGCTGGCCAGCTCGCAAGGCTCAGACGAGTAAGCCAATCAATGTTTTTTCCCATAATTTCTCAAAAATAATATTTTTCGTAAATGTTCTGCTGGCCAGTTTGCAAGGCTCAGACCAGAAAGCCCATCAAGGTTTTTTCCTATGATTTCTCGTAAATAATATTTCCCGTAAATGTTCTTCTGGCTAGTTTGCAAGGCTCAGAGCACTTACCCAATCAAGGGTCTTCTCAGTATTTTCTCGAAAATGATATTTCCTGAAAATGGTCTGTTGGTCACTTAGCAAGGCTCAGATCAGAGACCCAATAAAGGGTCTTCTCAGTATTTTCTCGAAAATGATTTTTCCCAAAAATGATCTGCTGGTCAGTCAGCAAGGCTCAGATCAGTGACCCAATCAAGGGTCTTCTCAGTATTTTCTCGAAAATGATATTTCCCGAAAATGACNTCAGTGACCCAATCAAGGGTCTTCTCAGTATTTTCTCGAAAATGATATTTCCCGAAAATGACCTGCTGGTCAGTCAGCAAGGCTCAGATCAGTGAGCCAATCAAGGCTCTTTCCAATATTTTCTCGACAATGATATCTCCCGAAAATGACCTGCTGGCCAGCTCCCTAAGCTCAGACCAGTAAGCCAATCAAGGCTTATTCCCATATTTTCTCGAAAATAATATTTGCCGTAAATGTTCTGCTGGTCAGTTTGCAAGGCTCTGACCAGAAAGCCAATTAAGGTTTTTTCCAATATTTTCTGGACAACGATATCTCCCGAAAATGACCTGCTGGCCAGCTCGCAAGGCTCAGACCAGTAAGCCAATCAAGGCTTTTTCCCATAATTTCTCGAAAATAATATCTCCCGTAAATGTTCTGCTGGCCAGTTTGCAAGGCTCAGACCAGAAAGCCAATCAAGGTTTTTTCCCATAATTTCTCGTAAATAATATTTCCCGTAAATGTTTAGCTGGCCAGTTTGCTAGGCTCACACCAGAAAACCAATTTACGCTTTTTCCAATATTTTCTCGACAATGATATCTCCCAAAAATGACTTGCTGGCCAATTTGCAAGGCTCAGAGCAGTGACCTAATCAAGGGTCTTCTCAGTATTTTTCTCGAAAATGATATTCCTTCGGGATTCAGGTCTACCACTCTCGTTGCCTTCTCTTATTAACTCCCTCCCTCTCTCTATCTCTCTGTCTCTCTCTCTCTCCGTCTCTCTCTCTCTCTCTCTCTCTCTCTCTCTCTCTCTCCCTTTTTTTAGTGTCACTCCCTCTCGCACACAGTCTCTCACTCCCATTGAGCAGTCCCCTTCTCTCCTTGACTTTCCCTGCCCGCAGTCCTAATTCCAACCGCTTTCTTTCAATCCCTTGCGAACTGCCAACTGTTACCAGTCCACTTAAGTTACCTAATCTGTAGTTGAGAAACGTCGTCTGACACGTGGTTGAAAGGGACCATGAACACGCAGTCAAAGGTGTCGCTATTAGCTGCGTCCAAGAGCGGACAGCAAGAACGCTCGTACTTTTGGCACATACTCACCCGCTGCCGCAGCACGGATCCACTGTGCTTCGCGATCAGGTACATTCGCTGCACCCACCGCAATTCACCGTCCCTGTCTCGAGACTCCAGCCAGCGTTCGCACCGGTAAGCTGAGCACACCGTGCATGCTTCCTTCCGTCACGTCACTCTCCTCACATGCGGAGTCACCCTCTCCGCGCTGGTGCGTCTTCCCTGCCCTTGCATACGCGGGTACACCTTGCTCGTACTGAGTGCCCCCCTCTCTTCGCTGCCTTCCTCTATATGCTGCGACCGTAGCCTTTTACGGAGCACGTGCTGCTGAGGGCCCGGGTACCCCCGTACTGTGGGAATTCCAGTCCAACGGTACCGATAGGCGTTGCCGTCGAAATAAAAAAGAACTGTCCTAGTTACCAAATCAGAAACTGTGCCGAGCATAAGGGTACCGTGGCCTCGTGACCTGGCTGTATTGGCCCAAGGACTCTACCGGTCCGGTGATAGACCTAAGCCTCACGCCAGTGCCGTACATACCCAAGATGATGAAGAGGGCCTCAATATTGAACCGTTGAGTCCCATTGACATAGCCGTCTGGGACTGCAGCTACTGGCCGCAGTATTTTGCATCAACTGTTCCGTGACAATGCCTCCGACCGTAGCACCCGTACCAAATTATATTAATCATTTGGAGCCGCTTTTCACACACACATCCGATCGTTGTCGCAGAGAACTGAAATAGCCCGTACCGTGCCAGCCGACCCCAAACCGAACCAGAAAATTAATGTGGCAATGGCTTCGACGCTGAAATAAATTACCGTGTTAGCGCTGATCCGAAAGTAGACGGTCGGAGTCACGTCGAAGTTGTTCCGCTCCTGAATTAATCAATGTGGTGGTTCCAAACCGGATAAGAAACCACCCTGATCTGCTCGAGCCTGAAAAAACCTGATGTCGGGCCCTTGTCGAGCCGGAAAAAAAATATGTCGGTGTCGAGTCGTACCGAATCCGAAATCAATGGCCGCGATAGCACCATGCCCGGGATAAACCGCCATGGCGGCGGCAAATAGATTGTCGTAGTAGTCCCAAGCCTGACAATAAATTACGCTGATATGTCCGAACCTGAAATGCTTTGATATTGAGCTCACCCTGAACCAAAAAGGCGAACTATGACCGGAACCCATCCGAACCGGTGTCCATACCGACCCAAATATCATACCGTTGGTCCAAAGCAGCACCGTCTCACGCTGCCCATGTGCCCGTCCTCAGGCTGACTCAGAGGGTCAATAGTCAGGTAAATAAAGAGAACGACGCGGAAAATCACGATCATCAGGGAGTAGTAACAAAAGGGGTTGAAGTTCAGAGAATTTGATCAATTCGGGGGTTCCGGGCTGACAGGGGGTAATCCAAACAAAATCAGGCCAGGCGTCGAATAGTCAGTAGCTCCTGTTCGTTCCGTCTTTGTTTTAATCATTTCACTCTCTTCCTAATTCTATTGTCTGAATTAGTATAATAGTCGCAATTTCACAAAAAATAAACACTGAGGGGTTTTAAATTAAATGATTGAAATTCTTTTGTTTTCCTTTTTTTTTAATGTTTAATCTTTTTTCTTCGTTTTTGATCTCATTGCAGGAAACGTAAAATAACGACGGAGTTTCTACTAAAATTAAATGCTATGAAAATTATAGAAATGAAAGAATATTCTGTTTTTCTCTCTCATCCCACCATCTTTAACCGTCTCTTCCATTTTAATTTCGGCATCGAAATTGACAAAAATTCGAGGCATCACTCGGCCTCGATCGTGTGCTGCAAAAGGCGTTATCGTGGGGTTAGTCCCCGCGATGTCTCTTAGTGGCAGGCCATTTCAGGTCTAGCCTCGGGACGGGCGAAAGTGACGGTTCCAAGATGTGTCGGGAGCGGCTACTTATTTTGCCACTTTTGAGGGTTACTCGTAAGATTCAATGCGCACAAAATCAGGGGTGCCCTGAGTTCCCCTAATTTTTGCTGCCTCGTGAAACCAGAGTACCATCAAAACACACACTTGTTTTTGAGCCTAGGTCCCAAAGCCTCAGCTTTCAGGCGGCCCATCCCTTGTGGCCGCCTGACAGTTAGCCCGGACCTCTTCTTGACGCCCCCGTCGAGCCCCTAGCAACTTATGTCAGACGAAGCGGACGAGCTTTAGGGTGATATTCCGTAAAGGACGCCCACGTCGGCGTTAAATTGTCTTATGTTTCAGTTTGTTATGAGTCCTGAGGCTAAGAAGATGCTTCTTGACTCTCCTGCTTCTTTTGGGTTTTCGTCCCGGCACGATTCTCTTTTTCTTCTGTCTTTGCCCCGAGAAGGGCGTCGACCCGCCAGTACGTCTAACGCGAACTCTCCGTCTAGCTCGCTTGAACACGAATAACCATCTCTTCTTTCTTCCTAAAGCTACCCCTTTTACCTCTCTTTTCTCTATTCTTTTCTTTTTTTCCTGGAACTCTCTCCTGCCTCGAATTGCCTCAAGGGCGCTCCATCCTCCATCATGGTTTTCCCTTTCCCTTTTCGGACTGGTTAGCGATAAAGCGGGCGTGGGCCTAGGCCTAAACAACTTTAACCTAGCCCCCGCCACTGGGTCCTTCCACTTAGATCCGTCTAGTTCTGCTATCATATATGCACCCCGGTCAAGTGCCTCAACCACTCTGTAAGGTCCCATCCACCTATTGGCAAGCTTTCCGGTCCAGGTCTTCTCCAGTGCCGCGTCGTAGAGAAGGACCATATCTCCTACGCTCACCCTCTCTTTCCTGATTCTGACGTTCTTATCCCATCTCTCTTTACCCTTGTCCCTCTCCACTGCCAGACGACCAGCTGCTGTCATAAGGTTATCTTCCAACCCGTAGGCTATCTGTCTTGTTCGAGCAGCTAAGAGTTCCTCTCTGGACATCTCCCATGCCCAGTCGACGGTTGTCCAACTGTCCACGTGAAACTCTATGGGAAGCGGACAATGTCGCCCAAACCACAAGGTGTACAATGGGTATCCGGTACTAGCCCGGACCGTGACGTTGTCCGCCCATATTGCGTATCGAAAATATCGTGGCCAATCACTGTCCTTACCCTTGCACCACTTGGACAGTGACGCTATCAGAGTCTGGTGTCCCCTCTCTACTGGGGAGTTCGACTGTGGGTGATAGGCGGTGGCTATTGAAACTCTCGCACCCGCTTTTCTAAACACGCTCTGGACCTCGTCGGCTAGGAATTCCGCCCCTTTGTCCATCACTATCTTGCTGACACAACCATACCTAGATAAGTACTCTAGGACAAAGCTCTTTACTTCCTTTGTTGCCTTACTCCTGATGGGTCTACCGTCCACGAACCCAGTGAAATCGTCTCGTATGTTCACGACGTAGTTCATATTGCCTACCCCTCTCGGCATTTTCACTAGATCAATGTGTACCTTCTGTCTTGGTCTGGTCGGATAGGATGGGTGAAGTGGCTCTTTGTATTTCACAAGAGCTCTCTTCTGACACTCTTCGCATGTCATGCAGTACCTCTCGACGTCCTTATACTGTCCTTCCCACCAGTACAGCCGGCGTATCTTTTCATAGGTTCCTTTAACTCCCATGTGTCCTCCGACTCCCCCGTCGTGAAGTTCCGCAACTATTGTCTGTCTTTCTTCAGGATCACAGACTACTCGTAAGGGCATTCCCGACCCTACTGGCCTTCGGAAAAGCAAGCCCGCTCTAAGGCAGTACTGGGCTGCTTCCCTCTAGATATCTGAATCTTGACTCTCTTCTCCCGTCAGGTATAGTTCGATCATTCGGTACTTGCCCTCGTAAAGATTAACTAGAAATCTCTCGGCGCGTCTCGGCTCTGCCATTGTTAGAGCCCCAGCTACTATCGGGCGCTCGATAGGAATGCGTGAAAGTCCATCTGCAACAACATTTTTAGTACCAGATACTATCTTAACCGTGTAATCGTATACGTATTAACCATCGGGCGATGGTCGGGTCCGTCAGACTAAAGTCAATTGGAGGACAGAGGCAACCGCGGTGGGGTCTACTCTCAAGATGAACCGTCGCTCATAGATATAGTGTCTGAACGTGTCTAGATACCGAAGAACAGCTAAAACTTTCTTCTTGAATTGACTATAGTTACGCTCAGCCGTATTAAGTGTCCTACTCTCAAATCTTAACGGTCTTTCCTTCCCTCCAGCGTCGTTCTGAGACAGCAAACCACCCACTAAACATGATCCAGCATCCGTGGATACTATGAAGGGTCTCTCGGTCTCATCGTCAAAGAATGGCACGCCCAACACCCGTCCTCCTTCCTTAAATTCGTCCTTAAGTTCTCGCATTGCGAGTTCCTGCGAAGAATCCCAGTAGAATTTCTCAGTCTTTCGAAGGAGTAACCTCAATGGTTCAGCCTTCTCCGCATACCCTCGTATGAAAATACGCCAGTAACCAACCACTCCTAGAAACTGTCGGACCTCGGTTGGGCTATGTAACGGTGAGGGCCAGTTCAAAAGTTTGTCTAACTTCGCCGGATCCGCTCGGCATCCTCTCGAATCACAGATAAAACCCAAGATCTTAATAGTCGAAACGGCCCATCGGCTTTTTGTTCCGCTGACTGTTAAATTCGCATCGTCCAGCTGCTCGAGTTCGGCGCAAATATCTGTTAGGTGCTGCTTGACGAATCTTCTAACTCCAGATACAACCTCTGTCTCATCCCTGTCTACTGGCCCTTTAATAGGAAAGTCATCCAGGAAAACTTCAACCTTATCAGGGATGAAGTCCTTGAGGACGGCTACCATGGCTCTCTGAAAAACGGCTACCCCATTAGTCCAACCCATAGGAACGACCATCATTTGTATTAGTCCCAATGGTGTATGCATAGCCGTGAGGTGTCTGTCCCTAGTGTCAAGCGGTATCTCATCATAACCTGAGAACAGATCACAGACCGAATAAATCGACCTTCCTGCGGCGCCTTCTGCCAGTAAATCAAAGTGTGGCACGGAGCCCACGTCTCGTATCGTCACCGCGTTGACCTTCTAAAGGTCTTGGATCCATCGGATCTTGCCATTCGGCTTTCATAGGAAGAACCATCGGTTTGCATAAGCGCTCTCAGACGGCTCCGCAACGTGGGAAACCATCTTTTCTTTCAGGAAAGCAATAACTTCTTCCTTCTTCTTCTGGGCGTATTTCCATCCTGCGTCATTCCAAGGAACATGTGGAATCATATAAATCCTCGCTGGCTTAGCGTATCGAAGGTCAATCCTACCGCGCTCCGCGTCGCTGAAAGCTATTGCCTTATCACATGTCTTCCGAATTTCTATCACACGTCCTCGCTCCTGTGGGGTCAGATTTCCATCTCCGATGTCCATCCCTGCTATTCTCTCTTCCGTTAGGCGTTGCGGCTCGTTTTTCTTTCTTTCTTTGATTTCTTTTGCGATCTCTTCTTCCGATATCCCCTCCAGTGCAGATTGCTCGTGGCCCACCGCCGCTGGCTTAACTTTTTGTGCTACTCGTTTGTGTCCCGTGGGTAGCCCCCCATAGGGGGCCGTGCCCTTAAAAAAGACACTGATACCACACCGCCAAATTCCTCATCTTTTTCTTTTGGGTATGAGTTGCTGTCCACTATTAGCCGACTCCCTAAGTCTTCGACCTCCTCCATCCGACCTTCTTCTTCTGTGAGCAGTGGTCCATACTTCTTCTCGCGAAATCGCACCGCGCGGCTGGAGATAGGCAACGACTTAATCAGATCACTGGGTCTTGCACCCACAGCGAGAGTTGCTCTATTCCTCGGGTCCCGAGGCTCCACTGTCTCAATCATTACCCCCGTCCCGTCTGGCTTCTTAATGGACAATGTTTGGCTCCCATCAGGTCGCTCTATCGTCACCGCATGCACGTGGCTCAGCCACGTTCGTCCCAAGAGCAGGTCGGAGCTGCAGTTCTTGACTGCAAAGACAGGCAGGGTCACTCGCACCCCTTGGACCTCTATGACTGCCTTGTGGCAAACCCCAGTGATCTGTTGCTTTCTCCCATCAGCCGTCTCTATCTCGAATAGGTATGACCTATCGAGGCCCAGTCCAACTTGTACCGCCAGGTCCTCGTCTATAATGACAGCCTCACTGTCGTTATCAATCACAGCTTCGAGTACCGCTTCCTCGTTTATAATCGTCTCCACGGCCCCGCTACCAAGTATATAAAACTTGTCTGGAGGCACACCTTCCATTCCATCGAGAAGGACTGTCGCCATGCGATCCGCTCTGGCAGTCACCCCCGTTACCGCTACTGTAGAAGCTTCCGCTTTAGGGGCCCCCTGGCCCTCCTCTGATAGAGGTATGCGAGTCTTCCGCGTGATCATCTGTAATTCATCACGAGCCAGCTTCGATGCCGCCAGGTACTCCAGAATAGAGCACTGCATTGGTTGTCGAAGGGCCCGCCTCAGTGGCTCAACCGTGTCAATCTCGTCCANGCTTCGATGCCGCCAGGTACTCCAGAATAGAGCACTGCATTGGTTGTCGAAGGGCCCGCCTCAGTGGCTCAACCGTGTCAATCTCGTCCAACGAACTCTTCATTAAGAACTTCTTGACTCCCCGCTTTCGCGGCGAAAGGATAACCTCCTCTCCATCGACCCGCTGCCCGTCCTTCTCCGTCATCACATAATCCGTGTCAGTCTTCTTCGATGTAGACCCTCTTGCCGACTTGGTGGCTGCCACCCTTATGGGTGTGGTCGCGATATCCTCTTTAAAGATTATCTTGATGCTCGGACTCCTTACCGGCTCCATTCCTTTACTCGTCTTTTTTCTCCTTGCTTCGACATTCTCCTTCATCGAAGGGAACATCGATACATCTCCGAGATCATCTGCCCACTTGACGTACTTGCGGTCGTCAAGCACGACAAGTCCCTCTTCTATTGCCCGTTTAAGGTCCGGGCAATCCCTCTTGATATGATTTTCTCCTCTACAGTAGACGCATGAGTTCCTCGGAGTAGATGCCCTGTCGTCTGTGCCTCTAGAGATCGAACTCCTGGCCACTTTGGGGTCAGGCGACTTGGGATATGGCTCTGATGAAACGCCATATCCCCCTCTCTCATTCCGACCGCGCGGATCATTGCGCCGGTCTCCTCCAAACCCTCCTTGGTCATACCGCCCTCGCGAATCATCCCGGCGGTCCCCCGAGTTATATCGTCCTTGTGACTCATCTCCTCGGTCCCCTCGGTTGTACCATCCTCGCGTCTCGTCGCGCTGCTCTTTCGCATCTCCCCCGCGCTCAAACCGTCCGCGTGACCCATCTTGTCGTTCCCAGTCCCGATCTTCTCTCTCATATCTACTTCCTCTGTAGCCATCTCGACCCGACCTCTCGTATCTGTCGTCCCTATATCCATCTCGGTCCGATCTCTCATATCTGTCGTCCCTATATCCATCTCGTCGGCTCTGTTCTGTCTCCCATCGGCCGCGGGAGTCGCCTCTACCCCGATCGGCCTCATAGCGAGGGCTTCGGGGGTAATTATCTAGCCTCCTTGCTCGCTCAAACAGCTCGCGATCTCTGCGGTCTCGGTCTATCTCATCGTCCTTACGTCGCCATGATTCATCGTCTCTCTCTCTTCCTCTCGTACGATAATCGGTCAGCGTCCGAGGATTTCTATCCTCGATACTCTTCCAAGGATCGTTGTTCCTACGGTCCCAGCGAAGTGAATAGGGCCCTCTAGGTTTTTCCCGGTAGGTCGTGGCCCCTGTAGCGGTCACAATCTCGTTAACCTGTCTCGTTAATCCCTTCACCATGTCCCGTATCTCCTTCACTTCCTCAGCCACGGCCTCATTCTTTTCTGACCAAGGATAGTCCTTGAAATCTGGACATCTATCAGTGGCATACTCCTTGTAGAGAGAGAAGTCACATCTCCTCATCCCTCTCCACACCAAGTCCTTGTAATCGTCTGCCTCTGCCTTTATCGCGAGCTTTAGAACTTCTGAGAAATCAAGCCTGTCACGCGGAAGATCTCTAAGTATACTCTTTTGCCTACCTTTGGACAAGTGTCCAATGAAGATGGTACAGCGCTCGACCTCTGAGATCTTCCCCTTCTTCATCAGCACGTCGAAGATCTTTTGGAAACGCATCCTAAATGCCCGTACGCTCTCATCTTCATCTTGAGCCATTGTTTCAAGGTCCTTGATGGAATACTTGTTATCCTCCAATTTGTAAAGCTCAACAAGGCTCTTCTTGTACGTAGTCCATTTCCCATCCTTCGGTCGAGCTTCCTTAACTTCCCTACCGAGACTTGGGTCCACATTAAATAGGAAGTTCTCTATAATTTTTTCCTCCGACCACTGACTCCGGCTGGCGTGAAGCTCCCACTTCTCCAGATATTCAGTGATACCATAACCCCTGAAGGTAGGAGGCTCTGAGACCTTGTGCGTAATAATATAGCGGTCCTTGCTTTCGTAAGGAAGCGGATGTGACTCCCCTGCCTGGGGATCGAAGACCTGCCTGGGCGGCGCCCTGTCTCTATCTCTGTCCCTCCAACAGGAATCCCTCAAGGTCTATCTCCAGTCGTCTCTATGCCTATCTGCTATGGTGTCCCTCCGCTCATACTCAGGGGAGCGTCGTCTCGTCGTCTCTCGTCGTCCGCTCGAGGTGCCCGTCCTTAGAGCCTCCTGCGGCTCCATTGTACCAGGTTTGCCTCTTACGCCGGGCCCTCCGTCATTGGTTTGGTCAGCCCATCTGAGCGGTGCTTCTTGCCTAATTCGTTCCTTCAGTTCTCTCAGAGCTCGGTTGGGCGATGTCCTATACTCCTCTCCCGCTTCGCCCATGGTCGGTTGTGGCCCCATCGTGTCGGGTTCCATTGGACCGCCAGAAGATGCAATTAGGTATTCTGGCCAACTGTTAGAGCCCGACCCTATGACAGTCGTTGCAGCCCGGACCTGTGACAGATGCGACAACCCGGACCTGTTTCCTTGTCACGGCTCACGTCCGCCTCCAATCTTAGCTCTCAACTGCTCTGATTACCACTTTCAGTATCCCGTACCGGTCGCGGATCTCGGGTTCTCTCTCAATCCCAAAATCCCTGTCTCTAAGTAACCTCTCTTTCGAGATTGGTCAACAAGGCCGCGCCTGTCTAGTTCCACAGTATGCCCGTGGCAGAACCTCTATCCTTGAGACAGATTGCAATCCCAATCCTAGCCAACGTCTCCTGATCAGCGCTCCCCAAAAAGTCCCCTGTCTGAACCGGTTAGCCCGCTAAAGGCCCTCATACTGCCATCCAAAGTCGCCCATCGACCTCTCTAGCTTCCTCTATTCTTCCAAGAGCTTTCTATTCCTATTTCCACTACCTTATGTCCTCAACAGTTACGAGGTCATCTGTCTAACAGCTGAGGTAAGTTAGTGCTGTAACGACTTGTAACCTCATTCCCGACCGCTCCAATATGTCATAAAATGTCTCAAAGTCCTCACTATCTCCTCCTTCGTCTATCGCATCTAAAGTCTTCATCGTTTCCTTCCAGTACCGGTTGTGAGCGGCTAATACCCTGAGTATTGCACCATCTATTACAACTCTCGCTAACTCTCCAGCTTTCCTAGCTTCGGTTCTCTTCAACCTCTCCGCCTCTCTTGTCGTCTCGTACCATGCCCTTATCCTAGACAGCCCTTCGAAAGGTGTTACTTGCAGCACATATTTAATCCTCCGTCCTCCTTCTATTCCAATCCAAAGTCCTGTCCCCCTTGCCTCGCGCAGGGCACGGCGGACACACTCTGCCTCCTCAACTATGCACAGTCTGGTATGGAACTGGAGCTCTACGATTACTAACACTACCGGTCCGTCCAATCTCCCTACCACATGCAATGAGTACCGATCCGTCGTATGCACTGCTGTCCCTCTCATGTCCTATCGCTACTTCCCTGCGTTACTTTGTCTTCCGTTGTCTCGCTCTCTGCAGATCGCTCACTAGTTTCTTCGCGTGATACGCTTCTAGCCTTTATCGTCTCCAGAAAGTCTGATCTCCACGCCGGGATAATCTCTCTTTCTTCCCTAAACAGTTCGTCTAACTTTCGTGTCACGAGTTCATCCCTTCGCAACTTGCCCTCGTCCTGGCACGACCAGATCTCCCTTAACTTGCTCTTCAACTTCTTTACCTGATTCAAGAGTGGTTCTTTAACGCGCTTTCTGACTCTCCCGATTGCCTCACTCTCCTCTTCCATACTCAGTCCACATCTTTCTCCCGCTCACGCTCTCACCCTCGCTTTAGCCTCCTCTACCGTCTCATCGTGGTAGTGCTCCGCGCGCATATAACCATGAGACCATATCATCACATCATAGGTAATCAAGGTCTGGAAGGTCACTCGCGCCAGTACATCAGCTCTACGCTCGTGGATCAAATCCCTAGCTCGTTGTCTGCACTCACCCACCGTCAAGTCCTCGTCTAAGAACGCTCGGAGAAGTACTGTCACAGTGTATCCTGTGCTTATCAGTTGCTCTTCTACACGCATCACCGTGGGCGCCCTTCCCGGCATTCCTCAAGTTGCGACCCCGAAGAGAAATCTCGCGTCCTCTAGCCCCGCGTAATCGATCTCTGCCCGTCTCCTGCAGTACCTAATCAGATCGTTATACCTCAGACAGTCCACCCAGCTCGTAACATCTATGATGTCGTCAAGCGTCTCTCTACTGGGCGACCCCCACCTCACACAAATGGAGTAGTATACTTCCTTGAAGCGGGGCGCTAAGCCCTCCCAGAGCGCGTAAAGTGTGTGATCCACTGCTCTCCTCAAACGATCCACGCCGCCATAGGTTTGCGCTATAACGAAGGTAGGAACTACGAATCGCCAATCCTTTCTCGGGTAGAGGGTCGGATGCGGTGGACCGTATACCAAGCAGCTCCTACTCGTCCTCCCTCCAGCAAGTCTCGCCAATTGCTGATTAACGATCACTCTGCCCAACAACTCACTTCTCCACCAACTCCTGCTCGCCCCTGTGAGCGTTAGCCCTATCTCTAAATCGTGTGTTCTATCAGCTATTAGATGTCCGACCCCCTCTAGATCATGAGTCGTCTCGGGTCGTTCGTCTCGTAGTATCACTGTCCATAGGAAGAGCACCTCTGCGAGCCACGTTCCCAAGTATCGTATCGGTACTCGCCCTGCGTCTTCTAACGCCACAGGAAGTGGTACGTCGTATCCAACCGCCGTCTCTCTGGGTCCTACAAGCTTCCTCACACTATACGATTCGGACTCCCGTGAGAAAACATAAGCTAACCAGGCCGCTGAATCACTCCTCATTTCTTCTCCTACTCTCGGTTAGCGTCACTCTACTCCCTCCGATACACCCCATCTCTCGACGTTGCTAACTCTTCAGACAACTCTCGCACTCTGGTCCAGTATGGTCGAGTAGGTTCAGTAGTCAGGCTCACTCAACCGTCGCCCTGATGCGCTCCTCTACCTCCTACGCCCGGACCGCTACTCCTATCCTAGAAAAACGAACATCTGTAATGTCACTCTCCTCCTCGTCAACCTCACTCTCTGGGTCAACCCAGTCTGGCTCCCAGGCGTCCTCCTCGTCCTCTCGCTCTCATCCCTCGTCGTCAAACTCGTCCTCGACGCGGTATGGCGCCTGTCCTATGGCCTAGTAGTATTCCGTCAGCTGATGGTCGTATATCAGAGGTCGCCTGGCGTCCTCACTCCACCAGCTCCCCCAGTCGTCCGAGAAGAGCCGGTCACGTACTCGGGGCCTGCTCGGAGCTCACGGTTCAGCCAATCCCAAACGCACGGAGACTGGGGCCACTCGTCGTCTATCGAGCGGATCAGCTCTATAAGCTGAACCCTCTCGTCTCCCCAACGAGGCCCACCGGTCGCAAGCGAATGATAGATGTAGTCTAGGTCGGCAGGCCTTCTCACCAGGATCTTGAGATCCTGATAGGCCAGGTATGTCTCGACCACTCCACCAATACCTCCAAAGATACTCTCTACTACGAACGTCGAAACTATCGCCCGCAGGCTCCTAACGCTGTACGGGAGAAACTCGTCCCATGCTACCACGAGCTCGCCCGTGATATCAAGAGGAGGGCGTCCGTGAAATAGGGTCAACGGGTCGCTCGCGTCCTCCGCTCGTAAAGCAACTACCTCTTCCCTTAGGTAGCGTAGTGCCCCGCTAACTGCGTCACTAGTCCCTGTCGTCGCGAGGCCCAGCACGGCCTCCCTGACCGCACCCGGTCCCAAATACAAGTAGGCTCTCACTACGCCTAATCCTTGTCCCGACCGGTGCTCTCTGTACGTCCAAAGCCACACGTCCTCGGACAGGATTATGGACCTCCACGCAAACTGGCCGTCAGCGTGTCGAATGCTGCGTCCGGGGATCGTAAGCTCGACCAGATCCCCCTCTATCAGTTCAGGGGGCTCTAAGTCCCAGTTAATGGTAGCCCCATAGACCTCTACTTGCACCCGTGGCCACATTCAACTGGCGGCTAGAGAGAACGCAGCAAGCGGAAGGTGTAGATTAAT